TAACCTCGCAGGCGCCACGCGAGGAGGCGGGACCTTGGGAGAAAGGGTTTCTAAGGACAGTCTGTCGGGCAGAGGGCTGGGAATGGGACCTGCTGGCGGCTGGGGATGACTCGTAGGCTCGGGAGGCAGAAAGCGTCTGCTCGTGCTGGGTCTGTCCCCGGGTCGCAAGACCAGCTGCGTTGGTTCCTTGGGCCACTGGTCTGGCTGGTGAGTGGGTGCACCTGCACGCAGGGTCCAGAAGACGTCTCAGAGGCCAGCCCTAGGTGTCACCAGGGTGATGCCATCCACGGCAGCGATGAAGAAGGCCGAGCGTCTTCACGACCATCAGCTCTGTGACTCCTGGGCAGCGAGTAGTCGTGGGAAAGCCAGCTGGGGACACGGCCGGGGGACACGAGACACACACCTGTCTGTGCGCTTTAGCCGTGCGTACACCTCGCATGGTTCAGGCCCTGCGGCTGTTCCCACCTTACGGCCTTTTATTGGTTTTATAAAGGGCGGTTTCACGTCTTGATATGTCTGAATTGTTCAACATGGTAAAAAAAATCTCCCCATGCTGTTACTGTGAGTTGTATTTTCCCCTTCTCAGTGTATTAGTTTTCTAGTTTCTTGTTTCCTTTATAATATAATGTTCGCTCTGGACCCTGGATACGGTTTTCTTATTACTGATAAATAAATTCTGGAACCTTTCTCGTGAGGTTTGACCGCCAAGTTGTCTAGATGGGTTTCCCATAAGAAAAAACAATTGCACGAAAGAACGTTTTTCTTTAGGTGTTGGGACCTGGCCTAAGACACAAAGATCTTATGTTTCATCAAGATAATTTCTACGTTGTCCTTACTAGGTTTTTGAATACTTGGGAAACCTGAGCCTTAAAAAGTTAAGGTTTTTCTGTGTTGCCTTTAAAGTGTTCTGATTACCACTCTTGCTTACGCGAACTGCTGCTATTTTACCTGTGATTCTGCTTCGACCAAATGTTTCAAGCCTTTTAATATCTTTGACAAATGTCCACAAAATCTAGATAATTTGAATGTTTAGCTACCTGCAAGCTTCCATTTTCCTGTCATTGCCAGAACTAGTCAGGACTTATAACCTTTTGTTTTGGATGCCGTTTTCTCATTCTGATACAAGAATCTCTAAATCCTTAGCTCTAATGGTTGCAACAAATGCTTATGTTTCATACAGCGAATTCCGGAGTCCTCAATTATTTCCTGGCTGCAAGTCTCCTAACTAATGTTTTCAACTTTTCTTCCATTTTTCTGACTTCAAATCACTAAAAATTAAAACTGTGCTTTTCTTAAAGCCCTACAGACTGAAACTAGACAGCTTGAATAATCTCTGAGAAAAATCGCAACTTATATATAAACAGCCTTCTTGTCTACTGATGTATAGATTATCCAAAAAGTTCACTTAACCACCTACTTTGAACTATAATGCTAAAAACCTGTCAAATTGCCACTGCAATACTTCAAAGATCATAGACAACCAGTCTATAGATTCTATTCCACACATGACCTTGTTTTTCTTCTGTTTCCATAGAAATGCTCTTATTAAAGATCTATTTGCTGGCACATACCATCCAGGCTTAGCCCATGTGAAGGCACTCAGGATGGGACCAGCGTGTTTAACCAGCTGACTTTTTCAGACCAAGAGACTGATGCAACCAGTATGGGAGCCAGGCGCGCCGGGAGGGGGTATGTCTAGCATCTGGCGAGAGGGATGAGTGGTCAGCGCGAACGGTGGAGGCGAGACGTGTGTAAAAAAAATAGAAATTGCTGACTACAAACTAGTATATGTATGTATAGATGCAGTTTATACTATATATAAATTAGCTGGCTGGTGGCCATGCTGTTAGTCAGTCTCGGAGGTGGAGGTCCTTGAGCCCAGGGTTGAGGTGTGTGGCGAGGTGACACCACGGCACTCACCAGCCGGAACAGAGTGGGACCCTGTCTCAAAAAAACACAAAACCCAATATGGAGTTATATATTTAATTGCTCTTTTCTGTTTTCTCATTTTTTCTCACTCCTTGTTGTCTCTATCTAACACTTCTAAACCCAATCTTCGAAGCTCTGTCACTTGGCTTTAATATGTAATTTAAGTGGACTGAAGGAAAGAAATTTTACGGCAAAATTTATTCCTGTGGCACTTGTGAGTGGCCGGAGGCGGGTGGCGCCCGGCCGCGCCGTCTGTGCGGGAGATTGCGTCCGCGAGTCTGCCCAACGAGCCCGGCCCTCTCCTCGTCCCGCTCTGGGAGATTAACTCAGATTGACACTTTAAGCGGAAGAACCGCTGCCACTCTCTGGAGGCGGGAGCTGCCTGGCCTCAATCGCGGAAGGGACCACCTGGGCCAGCCGTCAACTCCACGCAGCTGGACCCACCCACTCTTCTGGGACCTCAGGGGTGTGGTCCCGCACCCCCTGGCAGTGTTGTCCTGTCGTGATCACCTTTGTGTGCTCCCAACGTAGATGGCCTTTGGCTGATTTTTCATGACCCTCAAGAGGAAGGGGATCTCTGTTGGCTCACGAGACGGAGTTTTCTCCTTGAGAAGCACGGAACATCTTGTGGCCAGGCGTCCTGGGTCTCGAGTATCTGCTCCTTTGGTGGCAGGGCCATGAGTAGCCGTTCCGACGTCTCCCATCCGCTCAGGCCCGCCGTGGACCCTCGGTGCTGCACAGTGTCCACGGGTCCACCCTCTCCCCCAGGCTTCTACCCTCGTGTGAACCATAGCCACCGCCGAAGAGCTCGTCCTTGCAGGAACCACATTGTCGCCCCGCACCTGCGCCTCCTGCCCGGGCGGTGTGGTGCTGCTTCTGCACCGGCCCGCGCGACTCCCGCCCGGGCTCAGGTGGCTGCTCTGCACTGGTCCTCGCGACTCCGCCCGGAACAGCGAGCTCTCTGCAGGCCCTCCGCGACCTCCCGCCCCGGGCGCAGTGTGGGCTGCTCTGCACGGTCCCTCCGCGACCTCCCAGCCCGGGCGCAGCGTGGGCTGCTCTGCACGGTCCCTCCGCGACCTCCCGCCCCGGGCGCAGTGTGGGCTGCTCCGCACGGTCCCTCCGCGACCTCCTGCTCCTGGGCGCAGCGTGGGCTGCTCTGCACGGTCCCTCCGCGATCTCCCGCCCCGGGTGCAGCGTGGGCTGCTCTGCACGGGCCCTCCGCGATCTCCCACCCCGGGCGCAGCGTGGGCTGCTCTGCACGGGCCCTCCCCGACCTCCTGCCCCGGGCGCAGCGAGGGCTGCTCCGCATGGTCCCTCCCCGACCTCCCGCCCCAGGCGCAGCGAGGGCTGCTCCGCATGGTCCCTCCGTGACCTCCTGCTCCTGGGCGCAGCGAGGGCTGCTCTGCGCGGTCCCTCCGTGACCTCCTGCTCCCGGGCGCAGCGTCCCACCTGTTCCAGGATGAGACTCAGTACCTTGTCTCGATTGGGCTTCTCCTCTCAACTCTCTCCTACGCCACATAACTGTCCGACTCACCACTGGCATGTCAGACTCTGCCCCGAGCAGGCTCTCCCCACCCAGGCCCCCTCAGCCGGCCTCTCCTGTCTCAGCTGCCCCTCTGGCTGCAGGAGCGGCCAGGCTCCCCCCTCCGCCACGTCCCCTCGTCCTCAGAGGCCAGACTGCCACAATGGCAGAAGGTCAGGCGGCCAGGCTGGGCTGGGGAGGGAGGGGCAGCAGGGGCAGCGGCAGGCTTCCTGGGGTGATGGACCGTCCTGGGCCCTGACTGTACACGTGACCCGACGCACGTGTGGGAATTCACAGGCAGCCCATCAGAGGCACGGACCCTCCACCGTGACTCCAGATCTTCCGTCCCTGCCTGCGTGTTGGCTTCCTGTCTCCAAATGCAGAGTGCCCCATGCCCTGCCTGCCCCCTCCCCTCAGGCCTCTGCAGCTCACCTGTGCGGCCGGCCCCCCACACCTGGGCCTGGCACCCGACCCCAGCACTCCCTGGCCCTCACCTGCACCACTCCCGGCAAGGCTGACACGCGTGGACTTAGGTGAGCCGAGAGCATTACCGCGGCACTGCAGCTCTAAGAAGAGGCTCGGCTACGTTCGCTAGACGACACCACAACTCCATGAGTCCGGCTCTGCCTTTCCCCCACACCCTTTACCCCGCAAGCATGCAATGCTGGAGGCCGGAGCACAATTTGGCCAAGCCCTCACCGCTGCCTGCCCACGGTCCCCGGCCCAGGTCCCGCCCTGCTGTGACTCTACAACACCCAGAGTGTGCCATTTATGGCTCGCGGCGTTGGAAAACCCGCACAGACATGGCGGAGAACCAGATGGCCCAGTCAGACGTCTCACTGTCACAGGGTGCTTTCTGGACAACGGGTGAACCTTCAGACGAGGCCTGGGTGGAGCATCAACCCTTAGGGCGGGCGGCCCCACACCCGGGCTGCGAGCTCGCCCGCGCCCTGCTCCGCCGACAGGGGAGGAGAGGCGGCACCTGGTAAGGACACCTGGGCTGGGTGCAGGCCAGGTCGGAAGGGCCGGGCTGCTTGGCAAACACTGCGCAGACCTGAGCCCGCGCTCCACAGAGACACCTGGCAGGCGCAGGCCCAGCGTCAGTGGCGGGCTGCTGGGTGGACCCTGCGCAGACTGACCGCCATCACAGAGGACAGCGGACGAGTGGTTCGCGTCGTGTTTAGGGGTTCCTGAGTTAGGTGTCCGTGGCGATGCGTGTGGGAGTCGGGGTCCCAACGTGGAGACGGGAGCCAATCCTGACCTGGGACGACTGAGGCAGGTTTCCACGGCCGCCCGCCAGGGGAGGGGCAGCGCGGGGCGGGCCAGCAGACAGGGGCTGCAGGCGTAGCGCTTCCTCGCATTGGAGGCGCGGTCCGCACAGCTGGGGCGGGCACGGGCTGAGCTGCCTCCGCTGGCGCAGGCCCGCAGTTCTGCACGAGGGCGGCGAGAGGACTGTCCTCAGCGCGCTTTCTGGGCAGGGAAAGGGAAAGTGACGAGACCCGGGTGCGTGGCACGAGCCGCGCATCCCTGAAATAACGAGCTCGGCACCTGCGCGGCGTGGGCTCCTTTTATTCCTCTGCCTCAAGGGAAAGACGAGTTAACATGTGACAGTGAGACCCCCGCACCGATAGCGGAGGGACACGGAGCAGCGTGGCGGAAGCGCCACCGTCGGGAATTGGCGCTCACATCGGGGGGAGGCAGCGCTGGTTCTCCGGAGTGGGATCCATCTGGAAAACTAATCCCCTCCGAACAGCTGCAGATCACCACGGCCCTGCCGAGAGGGCACAGCAGGGACCGGCGCTAGAGCAGGATGTGGTACTTCAGGGCGCGAGGCACGCGGTTGATGACCAGCCTCCCGTCGTAGCTCAGGGAGGCAAAGAGCCAGGGGTCGGCGGAGGACCACTCCACGGCGTACACGCTGTCCTCGTGCTCCTCGTAGGTGGCGATGACGTTGTCCTGCAGCGGCTCCTTACTCCTGCAACGCAGCGGAGACGCAGCGTGAGCAAGGCGGCCCCGGCTGCGCGGGCAGGAGAGGCACAGAGAGGACGGGAGCACTCCTGCCGGGGGACACGGCCAGGGACACAGCCCAGGGACACAGCCCAGGGACACAGCTCGGGGACACGGCCAGGGCACACAGCCCAGGGACACGGCCCGGGGACATGGCCCGGGCACACAGCCAGCCTGGCCCCGAGCGTCTCCTCCGCGCCATGGAAGCAGGCGGAGGCTGCCCTGAAGCGGCGGGCTGGGTCCCGCAGACGTGAGCCCTGCCGGCAGGGGACGGGGCATCCATGCTGCTGTCTGATGCGGCCTCATGCCTCTACCCTCAGACCGTGGCAGCCCGGGGACAACCTGTCAGAGGTGGCACGGGGGACAGGGCTGGGGGAAAGGGCCCCTGTGTCCGCACCAAGAGACTAACTCACGGGCGGACTGCACCGCAGAGGAGGCTCCAGACACGGCGGGACCGTCCTGCAGAGCAACCTCAGGCGCTTGGGCGGCAGGGAGGGCTCGGACAGCCAACAAGGTGAGCACTCCCGAGCAGAGGGACAGACCCTCCCGCACGGAAGGGCTCAGCTGTTCGAGTCCACGGGACTGCACCCCAGAGCCTCCTCCTCGGGGGTCTGGGACAGGGGGCCGCTGCGGCAGCCTCTGCCCGGCGCCCAGCTGCCTCGGGGGACCAGCTGCCACACGCGAGGAGCCCCCCCACCCCAGAAAGCACGGCGTCTCCCCTAACACCCCGCCGCCGACTGCGGCAGCCACGCCCACGCATGGCGGGGGCCTAGCGGCAGCCCCTGCTGTCCCTGCCCCCAGGAGGGGCCCCCAGAGCCCCGTGGGGCACTGGGGACGTGAGCCCGGCACGAAGAGGGGCCTCACCGTCCCACCTGCCAAGCCTGGAAACAACCAGGATCAGGAAACGGAGGGCACAGGGAAGAGTCCGGGAAAACACGGAACCAAGGCGGCGTGACTGAACACACACGCCATGGCTGACCGCGCTTCGCAGTGTCTCGGGGCGAAGGGCCTGGCTTGGGGTCCCCGCACTGCTGCCGGCCAGCTGAGGGCCCTGAGCAGACGGGCAACAGCTCTGAGCCCACGTGGCCACACCACGGCAGCGAGGACACTGACGCAGGGACTCTCAGACCAGGCGGCGCTGGTTCCCGCCATGTTAATGCTCAAATTCGACGTCCAGCGACAGCCTCCTACATCTCATGTATGGCAGTTAGTAAGAACATGAAAAGAAATCTACGCAGACAGAGAGAAACAGAATGAGCCCACGCCGGAAGGTGTCGCCTAACCCAGCCTCGGGCCTCCCGTCTGGGCGCCCATCCCGGCGCCCTGCGCTGTGCGGAAGGAGAGCGTCGCCCGGCCCACCCGCACCAAGGCCCCGTGAGCCAGAGCGGCTGTGCCCTTACTTCTCCTCGGGTTGGTGGTCCTCCTGGTCACTGACGTCGTCGTCGTCCACCAAGTGGCCGAAGGGCTCCGAGGAGATGGACACCATGTTGGAGAGGATGACCCGGCTGTCGCTGCTGCCCGTGAGGACCAGCTGGTCGTGCGAGTGGTTGTAGCGCACGTTCCACACCCTGCAGAGGGCAGGCACGGGGCTGAGCCACGCGCGTCCCGTGGACGGCGCCGGCCCGACACGAGCCCGCGTGGGGCACTGCCAGGCCACCGCCCCCAGTCCTGTGGTCTGGCGTCACGCGGCTTTTGGCACAGGACAAGGTTTACTGTATGTTTCTCTGAAACATGCTCTCACGCCCCAGTAGACAGACAAAAACGGACTGAACGTTAGCTGAAACCTGCAGGAGGAGAAGGCTCATTGCTCAGTGTTTCAGAAAACTTTCTAAAATTCTAAAATCAAAGCCGCCCCATGGCAACACGTGGGTTACTGACAGCCTGTAGCACCACACAAAGCCCCGTGACATCGTCCCACCAACAGGGGCTGGGCCCTGAGGCAAGAGCAGCGGGGGTCTCCGAGGGCCCGGGTGCGTGCTCGGGTAACGTTCACGCAGGACGGGCTCCGTGCCCTCTCGCGCCCTGCCAACGCGAGCTCCCGCCCCGGGCAGCGGAGAGCGCAGACACCCCCGCGCGGAGGCTCCTGCCTGGGGGCCGAGGGCACCGTGAGGCGTGTCTCCCCGGCCTGCAGGAAACTGCAGCAATTCATTGCACTTATCAAAACTGCACACTGGCGTCCTGGGGTTTTTAATTTTCTGATTGCGGAAACAATAGAGCGTCTGATAAGTAATTCAAACCATTCAGAGGCGCGGGCCACGGGACGCAAAGTCCCTGTGACGGCCCCTCCGCGCCTGGGAGAGGCCCTCCGGTGACAGTGCGGCTCCCGCCCTTCCTGCCTTTCCTTCTGCACATGCGTGTGCGTGTACACCCGTGCATGCGTGGCAGGCATCCGCACACGCACTCGATGTGACTAGAAATGGATCTGTGGTGCACACACTAGGCTACGGCTTGATCTTTTCCCTTAGCAGAGTGCCCAGCACACGGCAAGCACGCAGATGACACTTTAGAGATAATGAGGGGTCTGGGCCACGTGCGCACACGCATAAATGTTCCTCGCGCTTCCTGGCAGCTGCGTGGTCTCCCTGCACGGATGCCACCTGATTCACTTAACCGGTCCCCTACTGAGGGACATTTGGGTGGTTTCCAGTTTTCTGGCATTGCAGACAATGCTGCGTGAACATCTGTGCACGTTTATTTTTGCATGCTTCGACCGGCACTGTTTCAAGAGAAAACAGAACTTAATGTTTTTCTTCTTTTCCTACGCTTATAAATCACAAACATTCAGATTTGGAATTAGCGTTTCTTTAGGAAAAATAAAACCAGGTTGATTGAATGATTCACAGCAGCACAAACTCAGCCGGTCTGTGTCTCTCCCACGGCAAAGTGATCAGCAAAACAAACCGCGCAGCCCCTCCCCCGAGCAGCCCTCCCCCACGCAGCCCTCCCCCGAGCCGCGAGCGGGCCACCCACCAGTGGGAGTGCTCCTCCAGGGTCTTCACGGGCTCCGTGACATTCCGGGTGTCCCAGAACTTCACCTTGCAGTCGTCCCCGCAGCTCGCCAAGTAGTACTGCTTGTTGGGGTTGAAGTCGAGGTCCCGCACCAGCTGGCCGTGGGCGTTCTCGATGCAGTAGACCTGGCTGCGGGAGGGAAGGGACAGCGCCGAAAAACACTCAACGGGTCACGGAAAGCCACCGGGCTCTGCAGGCGTGCACGGGCTTCCCAGGGTCCTGCCTGATGCCCTGGCCCGGGGAGCGTGGGTTCCCCGTACCTGCCCCTCTACAGGAGGCTGGCGGCGGGCGCCCCACCCCAGCAACGCGGCGGCAACGCGCCCGTGTCTCTGGCCCTCCCGGCCAGCTGTGGGAGTGATGCTGCTGGTCTGCGGCCGGCAAACATGTGACGTGGTGTCTTGAGAGTGAGGCTGCCAGAGAGGCTGCAACGGACCTTTGCGTGGGACGCCTGGCAAGTTTTTGGAAGGGTACGGTGAGGAAAGAAAGGAAAAGGGAAAAAGACAGGGGACAAAGGCAGAATAACTTGTGTTGTTGGCATTCGGAGATAGAGAGAAAGAGAGAGGCAAAGGTTAGAAAAAGTTGGAAATCTATTAAAAAAATGAAGGGGATGGTGTTTGTGATCGGGAGGCTTGTTCTTTTTTTTTTATTTTAGCGTATCATGGGAGTACAAGTGTCAAAGTTACTTATATTGCCCACGGCAAGGCTTGTTCTTTATCTGGTCACACCACCCCAGGACGGCAACACTGGTGCCCCAGTGCGATCCACTTGCTCCAGAGACAGGCAGGGGAGGGTTGTTTGGAATAGCACACGCAGACACACACACAGAGTCACACATACCAGCTCTCGTGTACACACACATGCACAGGTGCTCACACATGCACACACGCACACGAGTGCACATGCACGAGAGGGCAGGCACACGCTCACACACCCCTAACCAAGGCCTGGACCCCCTCTCCTTCCGGCTGCTCTTCGCAGGGTCTGAAATCACAGGACCTGCCTGTCACGGCACCTTCTGACGTCATGGACCCCAGGGGGCAGATCTCGCAGGGAGGCGGGTCGGGGTGAGGAACACGAGGCCTGTGCCCCGACAGCAACGGCCCACGGCTGCCAGCGCTGGCCCCCGTGGCCCGCCACCCTCCCTGGGCGGAACTGACACCTCTGTGGCATCCCCTCCCTCCCTCCCTCCCTCGCCGCGGCTCCAGGGCGGACCAGGAGCGTCTGTGCCTGTAACTCCCTAGTGATTCCCCCTCGTGCCTCCAAAGGCCGTCATCGTTCCCCGCTCTCCAAGGCAGATGAGCTCAATTTCTTCCACCTTTCTTCTCCCACTCTGGGTTTTCCCACCCTAAACCACCCTTAAATCTCCCAGCTTTTATATTATATGCTGTGCCTTTTAAATATCCTGCTTGTTTTTTCTTAACAAGACACCCTGAACCTTAAGATCTTCGGAGGGAAACAGGCAAAGGTATAAAATTAAGACGTGGCGCGTCCCCGGGGAACCGGGTGGACAGCCACGCACACGCTAAGCACTAACGAGGTCCCTGCAGGCTCCGGAGGCGGGACCTCCGACACAGAGCGAAACAGTCTGGAGGAAACGCCGACGGCGTCCTGCTACATAAAACCAAAGCTGCCCGCCAAGGACAGGCGCTGGCACGCCCGCCTGCGGGCGCCACACTTCCCGCGGGAGTCAGCGGGTCTCACAGAGACGCACCTGGGAGAACGAGGCTCGCCGGCCGCCCAGCGTGCCCGCTCTGCGGGCTGTGATGCGGCTGCCGGGTGTCCTGTCCTGCACACTGGAACTCCTCACACCCTCCACAGCACAGTGACACGGGGGGGGGGGGCAGGGCGTGGGGAAGTCAGGGTGGGCGTCGAGGCCAGTCTGCGGCCCCGGCTTGGGCGTGGGAAATGCAACGAGCCCTGTGTGCTCGCAGCAGGCGCTGAGGACACGGCGATCATTTATTAGCCTGGATTGTCGGGGGGGGCCCTCGAAACTGAGTTGAGAGCTGCGCCCCACCCTGGGAGCCGCACGAGCTGAAACATGACATCCGTCTCCCCGGCTCCGCGACGGATTACGCTGTGCCGAGGGGATAACTGTCTCTTAAAAAAGCTTGCGTGGGCTTCCGTTGCCATGGCAACAGACGTGCTGCCGTCCCTCCCTTGCCTATCAAAATCACAACTGGAACAGGAAAACCGCTCTTATTTGCTCCATTAGAACGGCTGGTGGCCGCGTACAATTACTTAAATGACAGGACGTGGATGCCCGGCGGGCGAGTCTCCCGGAGGCGGGAAACGGCCGGCCGGCTGCGCCCAGAGACTTAACCAGGGACGGCAGCTGCCACCCGCCGAGGCTGTCCCCGAGACGGAGCGGCCCGCGGCCACCATCCTGCTCACGACGTGTGGTCGTGACCCTGGTTTTTATCACAGACCCCGGCTAGTGTAGACACCAGAGTGGGTCGGCAGAGGATCGGCTGAGCCGGCTGTGCCTGGGGCGCAGGACCGAGACGGGGTTCGAGGTCTCCTGCGGACGGGAGGTGGAGGCGACGGACCACGTGCCCAGCGCTGTGGCTGGCGGCACCCTCGCCGTCACCCCCGTTGTCACCCCATCATCACCCCCGCCGTCACGCCCGTCGTCAACCCCGTCGTCACCCCCGCCGTCACCCCTGCCGTCACTCCATCACCCCCGCCGTCACCCCATCGTCACCCTCGCCGTCACCCCGTCCCCCATCGTCACCCCCGACGTCACCCTCACCGTCACCGTAACCGGCAGGCGGGCGGGAGGTGCGGGCGTCGGCGCGGCTCACTGACCTCATGCTGCGCGTGTCCCAGCCGCGGAGCGTGGTGTCGCTGGCCGTGGCCACCTGCGTGCAGTTGTGGTGCGGGCTCCACCGTCCCGAGGTGAACCTCAGCTGCCCCTTGCCTTCCAGGGACGCCGAGCCGGCCAGCTGCGCACGCCGTGAGGGTTTCCAGGGAGGAGAAAAGAAGAGCAGTTAACTCTCCTCAGCAAACCCAAAAGGATATCCTATATCCAAGATATTACTGAAAATAATTATTGAGGATAATTAGGAAGCTCTGTCTTTGTTTTCTTCCCTTAAAAGGCAAGGATGTTTGAACTTTATTTGGAAAAAAACTACAGAACTGAGCACAGTGAAAACCGGAAAGCACATTAATAGACGTCTATTGAAGAGGGCCCGCTTGCAAGTGTGTGGATAGAGAGTCCGCTGGAACTTGGAGAAGACGATACGGACTAGCTCCGACACGCCCGTCCCCAGAGACCGAGGACACAAGCCCACGAGACCAGCTCTAGAATAACAAGGGGACACACGTATTTACTGATCTAATATTGTTTTAGGTACACGGCCTCTTCCTCTCCTTTATCTTGAGGATCTATGAATCCTTCACATGGAGGTTAATTAAACCTGCAGGCCAGGCAGCTGATAAGGAGGACTCCCCAAGACCCACCGGGCCGCTTGCTGGGGCAGACACCCCCTTCTGCGGAGAGCGGTGGCCCGAGTGAGCCCGGGAGAGGCGCGCCTCCCGCCCGCCTGGGATCCATTCACAAAGCGGCTCCGGTTTCCGGTTTGAACGGCGGTTCACACGATGACGGCTAACCGCAGAGAGGACCCAGCCCCACCCCGGAGCACTCTCGGGCACGCCTGCCCCAAACCTGCCCACGGGCACGAGCCACTGCCACCCAGCTCACTCAGCGTCCAGACCAGTGTGCCCTTTCCCACCCCCGAGAGGGACCTGCAGCGTCAGGTGGCCGGTGAGCAGGCCGTTCACAAAGTGGGAGAACGCGGGGTCCTGGGCAAGACAAAGAGGTCACCACCTAACGGGGCTGTGAGGACGCTGTGGTTGACAGCCCACGGCCTCGGGAACACTTGTCCCTCCACAGCAGGAGGCTCCAAACTCGGGAGGCAGCCACCTAGAGGCTGGAGTGACAACGCCCGGCGTCCCTCCATCCTACGGGAACAGACTGCGGAGCGGCCAGGGGACCCAAACAGTCCTGGGTAGAAGCTGAGTGACGGCCACCCCTAAGGGAAGCACAGAAGCCGAGCTCGGTCGGGAGGAGGAGGTGTCAGCCCAGGAAGGGCCGCACGTCCGTCTCCCATGCTACCTCCCACCGTGGTGCTTAGGGAACGTTTTTAGAAACAGAAGGCCACCAGCTTAGCAGAGACCTATGGTGACAAGAGGCCAGGAGAGGTGGGAACACCAGAGACCCACAGGGGAAGACAAGGCAACCGTGACCCATCTCTGGGCAGAGGCTCGGTGGGCGTCTGCACCGTGTGCATTTCTGGGCGTCGGGGAAGACACGGGTCAGGCGGGCTCTCTGGGGAAAGGCCTGGGCAGGAGGCACCTGCAGACTGGACCTCCAAGCTGCAGCTGCTGCTGCCCCTCCCACGCGCATGGGAGCTCCTCAGTGTCCCCAGCTCCCGTGCCCGGCCCCTGCCCACCCCGCCCCACCTCGCTCTTCCCCACGGCCCGGGGCCTCGTGGGCAGTCAAAGGGTGTCTCCTCAGGGATGGCCTGGGGCCTGCTGCACAGTGTCCCAGTTAGCAGGGCGCTGCACTGTCACACACACACCGAGTGCGGCCCATCGACCCCTCTCCACAGAAGGCCGAGAGGCTGATCCTGCTGCGCGAGGGAGTGTTGACTGTGCTCCTGCGTGCGGGACGCCGTGGCAGGCACGCCCAGAGACAGTCCGAGCAGCACATGTGTGGAGGACGCAGGCGGGGAAGAGAGAAGCCGGCGCTGGGGTTAAGAGGGACGCCACACGCGAGCCAGAAGCGGAGTGGCCTGGGCCGCGGGCAGCCCTGGAAGGTGAAGCCGGGCGGGGAGCGCGGCGGGGCGGAGGCAGACCGCATGGCAGGCCGCACGGCTGAGAAGGCAGGTGCAGCCAGCCGCCCCAGGCCAGGACGTCTGCGGGGAGCGCCTGGCAGGCCGGGCGGCAGCGGCCACTGTCGGGGGCAGAACTGCGGGGACAGAACTTCAGGCGGGTGGGAGCCAAGCACACACTGCCAGGCGAGGACAGCCAGGGCCTGGGCCAGGGGTCAGGAAGGAGAGCGACCCAAACAGAGGACATGCAGGGAGGTGGCCGCCGCCCGTACACAGGACAAAGGCAGCACACGCGGCCACTGTGGCACGAGGGACACCGCACTCGAGCAACCCGGTGTCTCAGGACCGTGCGGCCAGGACCCACCGTGGGACCCCTCCCGCCCAGGCGCTGCTCCCCGCACACCTGCCCAGGTGCGCCCCCACCCCGCCCCCAGCCAGGCTTCCTCCTGCCCACAGGGCAGGCGGCAAAGGTGCCCAGAGCACCAGGAATGACAGCCCAGCCCAGACGCCCACGGAAGCGCCAGCCGACCCGCAGACCCGCCCCCAAACTCCCAGAGGTCAACAGCTGGTCCAGCTGCGCCGGCTGCCACCAGGAACAATGGAGAGAGAAAACTGGAGAGGGGACTGCTCTGCTGCTGGGACGATAGTCTCCCGCCCTTCCCGTCACACTCTGGAGGATTCCACAGCGTCTCTTTCTTTTCAGGCCTCCCTGGCATAGGGAAACCTCAGTCTGGGTGCGAGGGCGCAGTTATTTTCCACTGGCACGTGGGAGGCAGGCTGCAGGCAAGCAGCAGAGAGCGCGGGCGGGGCGGCTCTGGAAGGCGGCTCGGCTCCCGGGGAGACCCAGGCGCCGTGTGAGGCTCCGGGCAGCGCTGGGAGACCGCGGGGAGCCCTGCCGTGGCGCCACGGGTGGGGGTGGGGGAAAGAAAACCCCAGCAGGGAAGTCTTGCTGCGGCCCAAACTCTGAGCCACAGACTGTGCTTAGTAAGAGCCAATCTGGGAAGTGGTCGAAACAAATCTTCCCAACGGCAGTGACGGAACACCGCCACCTGAAGATGGGACTCAGAGCCTCACCACGTGCAGACACCCAAATGACTCAAATGTGCACTGCCGGAGGCACGGGGGAGACCTGACTTTGGCTTTACCTTGCAATGCTTTACCCTCCAATTGGATAAATGAATAAAAAAATATTTTTTTAGCATCCCTTTTAGGTAAAAAAGGAAAAAAATAGTCAAAATGTTCCCAGGTGCTATTTAGTTTTCTGAAGACCTGGTTATCAGGTAACGATTACTCACTGGTGACAACCAACGTGCTAAAAACCACAGGACGGACAAGCAGAAATGACGAAAGGGTTGGGTATATTCTCTAGCTAATCAACACTGAGCTCTAATTAATTTCCTGTTACGCATACTGGCTTGTACTCAAACTCTTCGGACAGATAAAACATGCGGTCACATCTCTAGAAGGGGAGGCGAGTTCGGCAGACGGGGCGGGCCGAGCTCATCCGCGGTGCCGCTTGTCTGGGAAGCGCGCACGCCACGGGCCACCGCACAAGCAGAAGGTGCGGCACCTCAGCAACACAGCCCGAGCTCAGTGCTCGGAAGGGACGCTGTCGTCCGACACTCTCTGTACTGACACCCACTTCATCCCGTAAGGCCTCCCTGCACAGCCGAGCCCGCGACCCGCGGCGCCTGCCTCCCAGACCCGCAGAGCGCAGGGCGTGTTCTGAACTGCCGCATAGACTAGCCTAGGTTTTTGGAACAGTAAGTTAGTCAATTAACTAATGCATCAACCAACCACCGATTAGCCCTGCGACTGATCAACAGGTATTTATGAGGCCGGGCGCAGTGGCTCACGCCTGTAATCCTAGCTCTCTGGGAGGCCGAGGCGGGCGGATTGCTCAAGGTCAGGAGTTCGAAACCAGCCTGAGCAAGAGCAAGACCCTGTCTCACTATAAATAGAAAAAATTAATTGGCCAACTAAAATACATAGAAAAATTAGCACGGGCATGGTGGCGCATGCCTGTAGTCCAGCTACTCAGGAGGCTGAGGCAGGAGGATCGCTTGAGCCCAGGAGTTTGAGGTTGCTGTGAGCTAGGCTGACGCCACGGCACTCACTCTAGCCTGGGCAACAAAGTGAGACTCTGTCTCAAAAAAAAAAACCCCACAAAAACCCAGGTATTTACGGGTGAGGCCCGGCCTCGCTGAGCGCGTGTCTCGGACGGGGCTGCATGTTCCCCGCGCTCTCGGTCTGGCTGCGGAGGCAACCGGCCCACGCAGGCAACAGAGAGAAAACACTTCGCTCGTGAGACCAGCTGTCAGTTAATCAGCGCCAGGCTGGCATTCTACGCTCCCTTCCCAGGGAAAGCATCACAGTAGTCACGTGTGTGTTACTGTGCCCATTTTACAGGTGAGGAAACCGAGGCGCAGAGACCACACGACTGCACAGTCACAGAAAGCTGGCTAACAGGTGACGTGCCAGGTTGAACACCAACAACGTATGCTCAGAGAGACTCCAGAGAAAGTGGAACGTGCCCGGCTTGGGGTAGCCAGAGGAAGGACTCACGAGGTTCAGGACTAGGACGGGTTTTCCAGGTCGAGCAGAACTTACGTCATGAAACAGGGGCGTGAGGTGTTCCCGCCAAAAAAGCGCATGCAAGGCAAGGAGACGGGAAACGTAACCAAAGCCGCCTCCGGGAACGGCACGGCAGCCAGGGACAGAAGGGAACAGGAAGGTGGCCCAGGCGGAGGCAGGGTGAAGTCAGGGTGAAGGATCAGCAGCTGGGGTGTCCTCAAGCTACATACAGAACGCAGAGAGCCGGGCAGGTGGCACGGTCCCCTGTCGGCGTGGGGAGGGGAGCACGCCTGGGGTCCGACGCCTGACTGTCCACGCGAGAACCGCAAGACGGCGGAGCGGGCCGAGCTGCGCGGGTAACTCCGGCCGTCTGTTAGACGGCCCCAGGGACTCACGGCGGGCACTGAGCAGAGGTGAGCGGGCCCTCGAGTGGCCCTCGGCGGCTCAGAGACGCGCCCTGGACCGCACCGCGCAGATGGGCAGACGGGAGCCCAGAGAGCGAGCGATGCCCCCATGGCCACACGGCCAGCGAGAGA